GCGCCACGCCCACAGTGGCGGTGCTGCTTCCGCCAAAGAACTTTTATCTCGCGCCCGGACTTCTGCCTATTTATACGGCGAGGCGTCGTCGCCGCTGCCTCAATCTCTGTCTCCGGTTATCTTCCGCGTGCGCGCGCTCGCGCTCCGTGGCCGATGCTGATTTCGTTTCCACCGCGCCCTTTGCCACCGCCGAGGGCGCCCCTCCACCCTCCACACGCCACGCCCCCTCCCTCTTACTGATGCGCTGTACGGAATCGCTCCCATTACTTATGGAGACTTCCAGGGCTTTTTGGTCGGTCTACTTATATCTCAGATAAAACATTTCAAATCACTGTTTAATTAAAACTAAATATATTAGTCGTTACAACGGCTTTTACGGAATCGTTGAAATCTATTGTGGACACTCTTCCGTGGTTTTTGTTAGGCTGGTTATGTTCTCTAAAGAAATATATGAGATATTAAATAGTTTTTCTTATGTACTGGTATTATAATCGACATTTTCTGTTGCAAAAAAATCGTTCATAATCGGGCATTTTATTACACAAAAGATGACATATGAGCTCTTACGGCACGAATGATTGCGTCATCACACATTCAGCCAATCGCAGCGAGAGAATCTTGGAGAGGTAGAAGTAAATGGACAGCCGACCACCATTTTCTCGCTCGGCCGTCAAATACCTGAGACGTCAGAAGAAAGTTGTTTCGCAAAATTATGTTTGAATATCTTGTAAATTTATGTTTTTATACAAAAAATAACGTATGCAACTCGTTTGTAATGTTGCTTTATTGCATTCATACAAATTTGAAAAATCGCGGCTAGCATTGCTCGTTTTCAATACATGTACTCATGTAATAAATCTACCATTATAAACTAATTGCGAAAATTACTATTCAATCCTTAGTTGTTACTTATGCTTTTACGAAATCTCTGCCTTCTCTTGAGAAGACTATTTCAGGATTGTTCTCTCTATTCTTTTGGTTGGGCTCCTTACATCGTATATTAAAGATTTTTAATCCCTAGTTGTCGTGGATGCTTTTATGGAAACGCTGCCATTTCTGATGGAGAGTTACTTCTGTATGTTTTTTGTTGGGGCAACATATAACACAAATTAAAGATTTTAAATGTCCTCCAGATGTTGGTGATGATTTTACGAAATAATTGCCATCTCTTGTGAGGATGAGTTTTTCTGAATTAACATAACTATTAAATTACTTTTCAAAGAAATGAGTTTTCTTAAAAGTTTCTCTCAATTGCTTTACGAGTTTTGCTTGTAAGCTAAGGGTAGAGACGATAACCCAATCTTATATTTTACTGATTTCCTATTTTCTCAATTATGTTACCAAATACATTTACGTATTTATTCCCATATTTCGCTGATTTTATTACATGTTAATCTTTCACAGTAATGAAAATCGTGCTGCGAAAACTGATACTCGTATAGCTGTTAACCCTTTGGTTTGCTCCGGCTGGATGAGGAAAACAGTGTCAAACTACCTTACTTCCTCTGACCCAGTACATTTTTTTAGCTGATCAACAGCTGATGACTATTGAAAGATGCATGTGACTACTGGCTACAATAGCATATGTAGTTGTGAGTATGTAGTAAAACTACATTGAGCTGGCGCTCCCAAGTTCGAGTCTCCTACTTCAGCGGATTCATTCTCTCTCTCTCTCTCTCTCTCTCTAACATAGTTATGCATTTATGTATTATTTCCCTCCCTTTGCGTATTTATACACGTCTAATTCACCAAGATACTGCTCAAAATCAACGCGCGCTCACAATTTCATGCTTTGACTTCAAGAAATGGTCGCGTTTTTCCTCCAGCTTTAAGTCCTCACCCACAAAGCAGCGTTATACATGGGCCTGCGCACGCATTTGTTCGAGTCTCCGAAGCAGCTAATGTCGCTGCTACTGCGTCGCTTATCGCGTGTAAGAAGTTGCCCAGATCTAAATCAAAGTACCTAAGGGCGCCCCGCTGCCTTAGTCAACTCCCTTTAAGCGCAGAGCACCTCGACTGCATGCAGTGTTCTTGCAACAAGCTGTGAAAAAGTTACTGGGTGCACGAGACACTCTGAGGAAAGTGCTGCATTTTTTTCACTTGTTGCTACGCTACTACATACAAAAAACACTGCACGCAGGTTAATTTTTACACATTAACGTGCTTTAAAAGTGAGGATTTTAAACATGTCAACCACCTACTGAGTAAGCAGTAATGCTTTGACTTGGCGTGTACCCGCCAGGCGACCCAGTTAAGATAGCTGAAGTCAAATAAGAAATTTCCTGGTGGAACAATTGTTTAATGGTACAAGCAGGGTGCAAGAATACTACTCTCTGATAAGTCACTAGCAATGTACGTGAAAATCGTAGTTATTATTCACGTGAACGAAACAATTATAAAAGAGTACAAATACTGTATATACAGTACATATGTATATGGAAACGCACACGTTGAAATATTACTGTAACATTGCTTTACAATCTTATGCTTCCCGCCTACTGTTGATGTTCCCTGCATGCAACGCTACAAGTGAATGGTAGTCTAAGCACCTGGTAGTAATTGATGGTTTTGCTAAAAAAATTCCGGTGCAGGATCTGCATGGATATGACGCAATGTGTGATAATAGTGCAATTTGTAAATTAAAAACGTATCCAACTCGCCTGACTGTGCCCATCAGCTCTTTTGCCTTTCTGCACGGTGTTTGGGCATTTAAGCGTCAAATAAACTAGTTCCAACTAGTGTTGTCAGACGTACCAGGATCCTGGTACTTTTACCAGGGTTTTAATGAAGATGCAATGTACCAGGATGAGCACATCCTGGTAATTAATACCAGGATTTGTGGTCTACGAAAACTGATGATGTGCGACTTAAGATTTGTATAATACATTTGTATTCAATAATTTATAACACCAATATTACAAACAACTATAATTTTGGTGGAAACACTGCAGTGCAAACATTAAGGGTGACATAGAATCGTCTTTTTCTTGCACACGATGTAATAGAAAAGGTTAAAACATCTTAGCCTTCCATTTAGTTAATCGATATAAAATGAATCAATATCCAGTAAAGTTTAACTTCCAGTGCGAGTTAAAAACTTATAGTATAAACATTTTCATAATTTAAATCAATTGTAATTGGTCAGAGGATTTAATTGCAAGTACCAGGATTTTTTATGATTGGAACTGAGATGTACGTTGGCAACGCTGGTTCCTGCAGCCTTTATCTTCAAATACCATCGAGAGCTTATCGCGATAAGAAAAGAATATAAGCGGCACCGACGAGCTCCACTACTGGAGATGATTTGTTTAAAATATGTCAGAATTATGCTTTGTCCAATAACCATCTTGAAGGGAAATTGAGAAAAAGAAAGAAAAATAATAAATTATAAATAATGACACAAATATAATAAATAATCTTGTTAATGTCCACGTCTTTCGAATTGAATCTCAGATTTTTTAAGATGATAGTTCAACAAAAATTATCATTGTTATATTATTATACTATTATGATGGTGTTTCATTATTTCATCAATTTCTGTATCAATAGTTCTAGGGATAGTGTAGGGTAGATTGCAGAGAAATGTTCTGAATATGTTACTATGTGGGGGAGTGAGAGAAGTGCGAGGAAGACAATAGGAGAAAGCGAGACAGTAAATGAAGAGAGAGAAAGTGTGCGGGACAGAATGAGGGGCAGACAGTGAGAGGGAGGGGCAGAGCTGTTGGAAGAGAAACAGGCAGACAGAGAGGGAAGGTGAGAGACAGGCAGTCGGGGGGGGAGGGAGAGTAGTAGGGTAGAAGGGATTGGGAAGGGAGGGAGAGAGAGTGGGGTGAGAAGGGAGGAGGAAGGGGAGAGAGGAACAGAGAAAGGGAGAATGAGAAAAAGGTTGAGAGACAGAAAAGGGTGAGAGGAAGAGAGATAGGGAGAGAGGAACTGGTCGCGATGTATGTGAGCGAACCGCGAGCGTGGAAGGGGTCGGCTCGTGGGAGCCGCCTGCTTTGAGAGCCGCTCGCCCCCAGCGATAACCTCCCCCTTCCCCTCCCACGCCCATTCGTAAGCTGCGCTACGCAAATACACTTTGCGAGTCCGACAGTTCGATAGCCGCAACAGAAAATATTATTGGAGGTACAACCGGCGTTCGGAGAGCGCGCGCGTTCAAGGGGTCGCTGGTCGTTTCGAGTCAATCGAGTTCCCACTGTTTAATCGCCTGTGTGAATGGCGCGGTGAATTATCACTGGTGGGCGATTTGATTGGCAAGCAATAAATGCTTTCAGTTCTCGGAAAGACTATGTGAACGACATCAGTGACGTTTGTAGAGCAGTGGTCTTTAAACTGTTAAATAACAGGGTGATACTATCAACCCTGGCCAGCGCAGGAACAGAAAGGAACCCAATGAGTGAAATATATTAAAATATTATTTTCATAATTCATTACTTAACCAACCAAATAACATTGACTTTACGCAACCAAACACAATAAAAATACATTATTATCGTTCATTAAGGATTTAACACACATCCGTCCTTTCACAATTGAAACAAACGAGTTGTAGCTAGTGATGGCGTCTCAGAAATAATATTACGCCTGTGTAATATATACGTATACATAGTACACCAATCCATAATCCTGGATATTATTTCCAATAAATTATATTTCATGTTTATATATTTTCTTATGAGATGATGGTAGGTTTTACGAAATGTGACACACGAT